CACGTAGCATTGCACTGAACCATGCTGGTTGGAAGTTTTAGGTGATTTTGACTCGGTTATGGTCACTTCACTGCAAAAATAGTTATGATCTTTTACTCTTGAATTGGGGGTGGTGGGAAAACCTGTGGTACGAAACTTAACCCAGTGGAAATATATCCGTGCCTTGTGAAAGCTAGTAGAGCTAAAAGCTGGTGTCTTTTGGTCTGGAAGCCCTTCTGATATCAGCTATGAGAGGAACCACTCCATACATGCAGCAGACACTTGAGGACCTAAGCATGACTGTGCCTGTATCCAAAACCCAGGGCTAGACAAGGCGACTGATGCAGTGCTTCTGGAAGTCTGCTGGAGCAGGCTTGGGAAAACATCCCAAGCCTGAAGAAAGCTACTGTTGAGATTCCTTCTTCCACCACATGAGCTAATGAAACAACAAAACTCCTATTATGTTCAAATGCCCTGCAGTTTTTGACAGACCTGCTGCTTATAATCGGTAACATAATGCATACAATAACACTTCATTCACAGCTCCCAACTATTTTATTATCCTCACAGGACAGCTGATAAAATCCAGGCAGGGGAAGATAAGGTTATTTTGCCTGTGGCCAGCTAGCAAATCAATGACTATGGCAGAGATAGTAACTGTGTCTGCTGGTTCTCAAACATTATCCTCTGTCAGCGACTGTGACACCTTCCAAGCTAACTGGGGTTATTAAAATTAGAGGTGTGTAACAGGAGTAAATGATAACTTATCTACATAATATGGCTGAAAAACAGCGTATTTGGAAGCCTTTATTCTCAGGTCAGGACCATCAGTGAAGTCCTATTTACTGCAGGGAGAGTGTAGTGAAAGATATCACCTGAGGATACAGTCCCCACTCAATAATTTTCCCTTTTAATTTTATCTGTAGACTGCATTAATTTTTAATTGCTAACATAATTTCCTCAGTTGTTTTTGAGATGATGAATTAGATGTGACCAATTCTTATTTGCTGCAAGGGCTAATGTTCCTGGGTTTTGGCCCTTAATAAAATTATTCAGTAATAATGTAATTGTCCATGGAGCCACCATCTATTATGCATTTCCTGTTTTTAAAAAACCCCAAAATTCTTTGGCTTAGTATAGAGGAAAGAGCCAGGTTACAAGTTACAAGAGGAGTCTTTCAGATTAAAATTACATTTACCCTTAAAGCTAACACGGTCTGACTTCTGAGCTAAATCAGAACCTTTTAAGGCGCTCATGTATTGAGCCAAATCCTGCCCCTCTCCACCAGTGACCTGTGAATGCACAAGCAGGATTCCTGTGCCTGCTCCAGTCATGACACACTCTATGTGTTTGCTGTGGTTAGGGCTGGAGTTTGCTGTCTTTCCCCTTGCCCTGTAAATTATTGGAGTCCATTATCATGGTTTCCTTCACACAACGTCAGCATCTATATGTGTATTCCTCCTCTGCTCCCCAGCATCATGAGTATCAGAGAGCTGCTCTAGCCAGGCAAGACCCAAGTAACCTGTTCAGTAAATACTTTTGTCGTGTTAGAGAAAGAGTAGCGATGGGTCAGAGTTCAACTTGGGTTTCTGGAGCTTCCTGCAATAACGATATTGTTTTGTCTCAGCAAGCAGATTTTCAGTGGACTCCAAGTGGAGATTTTGCCACCATTAATGTGATGAACAAGGAGCGTGAAAGCTGACTTGTGAAGTGAAATGAAATGTAGCTGCTGTTATACCCAAGCAAATATCTGCAGTTCCAAGAGACCTTGTGAAAAACATGCAGATGCCCTGGCTTCATTTGTGGTATTAACTACAATATTCAAATAAAACTTTCAAACTTGTCTACATCCAGTTTCATCTCTTGAGTACAATACAGGAGTACTCTTAAAGGCATAATTGACTCCCAGTGAATGAAGAAGACTTCTGGCCAGGTCTTGAGTGATGCAAAGCCCAGAGCTGCAAAAGCATTTTCCCACCATTGAGACTCTCAGGATATTCATCTTTACCTGATCTTATTTTATATGCTTTGGAGGCAGGAAAAGTTTAAAGAAAATGTATTTCAGTTTTGAGGTAAGAGGGAGAGTAGGCTGATTCACACCAACGTGTGTGACTTTTCTTGCAGAGTCTTCAATGGATAACTACCCTCATGAGTTTTAGGGTTTTTAAATTTTTTTTTCACCCATGCTTGTTGTTTTTAAAAAGTCTTAACCCCACTCACTTGTTGTAATGTTTTTTTCTATCTTCCATTACTTACATATTCTAAAGAACCTAAGAAGTGTTTCTGATTGATAGAAAAACGGTTCTATCTGGGAGTAATGGCTGTAGTTACATCTGTCCAGTTTGGGTGTGAAAGACATGTCTTTAAGAGTTGCTAAGGTTCCTATTTGATATTTGAAGCAGTTGTAGATTGACAAAAACCATAGACATTTGCACAATTTTAAGGAGAAAGGCACATTTTATGCAAAACTACAAAACCATTAGCCTCTCCAGTACAGAGGGCCAGCCATTTATTTTGAATGCATGGCATTCTCTTGAAGTGTTCTATACCATCAGATATGATACATTGTTTACTTGAATATTTTAAATTAAAACTCTGGAAGTTAGCGCTGCGGTGATTGTGACTGTAATGCTTTACCAAGGAGGAAAAAGCATAGGAAGAAACTAGGTACTTGTTCTTGATAATTTTCCTGCTTTAGGCTACTATTTTTTGCTATATACACTTCTATTACTCATTTAATAACAGTAGAATTGGAAAAAAAAATCTTCTATTTTGTGTTCCTTTCAATCATGTTTCTGTTTACTCTCCATTTCCTTGACTAGCCATCCCACTTTATGCATGAAAAGGTGTTCAGCTGCTGACAGGAATGAGCAATGCCTTGTGTTGCTAGGGCAGCTCTGTGCAGCTCTGACCTGCTCTCTTTTTCTAAAGATAGCCCAGTGTTGATAGCAAAATCCATTGCCTGTTATTTCAAAATGTCATTCACGATATCTCCGTTTTGAATATTTATATCCTGAATATTTTCTCCTGTTAATTTAATTGCCACAAAATGACCATTTGCCCTTTGTTTCTGTCATGCTAGCTTAATTAAACTTCTGTTAAAAGATGCATCTGGATTTGAGCAGAAAATCAGCCGATCAACTGGAACAAGCACCTGTGCAGACTTAAGCTTTTTGACAACAAAACCTGGACTTTACCAAAAGAAGAAGTTAGTCTACATCTAATCACGAACTTGGCAAATACTGAAATGCCAATCAAGAAACAGTCTTTTTATGTTCTGTGAAAATGCACTATATTTCTCTGTGTAATTGGATTCATCCTGCTGAGTTGCTACTGGTGGAAGCTCTCACAGAAGGTAAAATTTATCCAGTGTTGATCTGTAGCACTAAAGCAGTCCCAGTGTTGACAGAGGAAATTATCTTTCACAAAGGCAAAGGTGAAGTGAGTTCCCTCAATCTAAATAAATTCATGTGATGCTGCGCAGACCTCCTCCCTTCTTTGTTGCTAAACATGAATAAATATTCGCTTGTAGGATGGCTTTATCACCTGATAGTACTCCAAAACAAATGGTAGTACTTCAAAATGACTTTTGTACCCCAAGTCACCTAGCATATGAGCCTAGGGGAGCAGACTTTACATATGGCATGGTTTTAGTTTGTGGGAAGTACAAATAGCTGTAATAATAAAAGGCACTGACCTTTCAGCCACAGAAGCAACAAGAATAACCACAGCAGAGGAAAGTAAGAGCAGCAGAAAGCAAATATTATTTGCAAACATTGAAAATGCTTGAAAATGTTGAAAAATGATGACCCAACACTGAATGATATTAAAATCATTCAGAATGATACTTTTTTCCTTTCATTGCCCTAAAAGATTAGTTAGCATGTAATAAAAAATGATATGTAAAAAATTCTGTCTCATATTTATGATGCTTCACACCTGTTTGCCCTAAAAGATTAGTTAGCATGTAATAACAAATGATATGTAAAAAATTCTATGTCTCATATTTATGATGCTTCACACCTGATTCTACTGTGTTATGCACAAGTACTGAAATCTTTTCCTGTAGATTTTGAACCAACATTTTCATCATTATCCAGACATTTATTCCAGCCTTCTCTCGATTGTGACCTTTCTTGGGTGACAAGGGCTGGAGATACCATTCCATACTGTCATCAAGAACTAATAGTTTCTCCAGTAGCAGTCACCAGGTTTGTTTTGAGATCTGGACAGACTAGAAGTATATATTTGAGTGACTTAGACCAAGTAGCTTGGACTTATCTCACTTCGAGTGGTCAGGTTAGCCAGATGTTCTCAGACTATGTTATGATTCAAATAAAAGATACCAGAGGAAACACCACCTTCATGCAGGTGTTGTGTTTTTGCTAACCCTCAGTGGGACTCAGGAGGTGAAAAATGTTGTTTTTACAGCTCCATTTTGTCTGATATAAAACAAGGAGTTGGATGTGGTTTTCTTAGAAATTAGCAAAATTCTGCAATCACCAGGGACTGTTGTGCTAAGAGGAGGCAATCACAATGCTCTCTGCTGTAGATTGTTAGCTTTCCATTAGTGATTGAATATGCATTGAGTCAGATTAAAAAAAAAAAAAAAAAAAAGACAGAGTCTGCAAGGAAGAGATTGAGTCTGTAGACCACAGAGTCATGTTCAAGCCTCTGACTAAATGAATCTCCAATTACTTGTACAAAGTAAACAACTCTAACAAAAACAACTGAGACACCATTTATTCTCCCTGCCTGAAAAACATAGGTGTAAAGATGTTCTGCTGGCATGGGGCAGGCGGCAGGGAGATGGAGCTAAGTCTAGTCTTGAGGCTAACTTAAGCAAACTGAGGGCTGAAAGGAGGCCTTCCATCTCCTAAACGAGTGTCTTAATCAGTGATTCTATTTTCCTCAATGAAAACATTCGACATGTCTTTTTGTGCCACAACTTATGGTCAAGAATCCTCACCAGATGCTTTTCTGTCCTTACATTGCTGTACCTGCTTACTCCTGAGGCCCACCTGAGCTTCCATGGCTTCCACGACTCCGGCCCAAATCGCCTCCAGCATCTGGAGCTGAGGTACCTTATGCAGGGAAAGGGGGAAATGAAAGTCACATGGTGCAATGTTAATATCTTTTTGAATTTAGACCTCCTCTCTCCAAGGAGGAATATCTTAGAAAATATTTTGAATTTTTACAGCATGGTATGATAACAGACGGTAACAGTGATTACTGATGAAATGGATATAGGAAGAGAAAAACAACAGTTCCAGCAGTAAACTATTTGAATATTATGGTATATACATGTAAGGAGACATGGGGAAGGAACTGCTGAATGATTTTGCACACAAAATAACTATTTCAAAATTATTTTGGATAAAACGTAGAATAAATGTGTTGCATAAAAGAAAAATTAGATACCTTTTATTTGCTGCTGTTTCCAAAGAATCCAGGTTATCAACACACACCATTATTTGCAATTTTGACCTGGATGCTAAGTTCACTTCCTCCACGTATACAGAGGAGGAGTTTTAAAAAATGCATGTGTAAGAAATGACTTTTGCTTTTAAGAACAATTCTTAGTTAGTCTTTGGTCTTTTCTTTCCCTATGAGGTTTATGGTTTTTTTAGGCAGGTGACACACTAATGCTGCTCGGCTTTGAAAACTTGCAGTTATGTACATATGCTTACAGAAAGACAACTTTCTGAAAAGTTATTGTAACAAGAAATTCGCAGTTGTCAGCATAATAGAAATGCAGTTGACAAATAGAAGCAGTTGACAACAAATCTTTGTCTTGTTTTTGTTTTTTTTTTTTTCCTGGCACCACATTTATAATCCTGTACTTGGCAGATAAATGTAAAAATTATATGTGTTCTATACATAAAATCAGTCCAAGCACTGTGTAACTCTGTTCTGTAAACAATTTGGATGGAAATTTGGAAGAAGGATAGCAATGTGAACTTATCTTCCTCATAAAAACATTGCAGTTACAGTCTGACTCTGAAAAAAGAAACAGATCCCTGGAGCAAAAATATAGTTAGTATATCTCCAGGAGCACACAGTAGCAAAATGTGAAACTTAGGATAAGTATTTTGCTATTGCTCATTATCTGACTCACCTAGAAATAGTTTGGTACAAACCCAATTATAATAGAAAACATATGTTTATATGCAGCTTTGTGTATAAGTTATTAGGCACCACTAGAAGTGATTCAGAAGAAAGTTCCTTTGGTGTGTGTCATTTGTGGTCTCATTTGCAAACAGCATGCGTCATGAATAAGTCATGAAGCGGTATTGCAAAGCTGTTTTCAGCATTTATTTGGTGAGATTAATTCAACTATATGCACATGCATATGTCATTGCAGGAACACTAATATAGCATTATGCTTACCAAAGCCAAGAGGAAAGCATACATACTAAGCAAATATAAAAATTCAAGAGTAGCTACTGGAATGACAGTTTGTATTTATATAAAGATTTTTGAACTTTCATGTTTCTGAGCCATTAGTATTCTTTCTACCTGGATTTACTGAGTGGAGCATTCTGTCACCGTTCCTCATGCAATATCATAATTTACTGTCAGATGACCCCATTTTTCCATGAGATCCCTGGCACTGTAGTTGAAGTCATGGCAGGTGAAATCCCTGCCATGGTATATGATCCTGGGACTTCATCATAGATAGGAGGTAAAAACCTGAGCCTCATGAAGTCAAGGGAGAAATTCTGATTGATTTCAAAGGGATCCAAACAGCAAATTACTTCAGTGGTTGCTCTAGCAAAGCATACATTGTCAGAACAGCTATGGTGATGGTCGGGCTATGCTGAGTTGTACTTACATTTAAGCACATGTTCTGTCTTCACCTAGATTCCAGTACATCTTCTGAATCCCTTGTTTGAACTGTACACTGCCTACTTTGAAGACGCATCTGCAAACTTATTTCTAGTTACTCATGTGATAAGGGGTTGTAGAATCACAGCTGGTTGAAACATGACAACTGTAGGCAGAAAAGAAATCGCCATTGTATCTTGTGCATTATAAAGGATATTTAGCAAATTGATTTACTTGTTAGGGTGCACATTTTAACTAAAAAATAAATCCACTAAAAATGAAGGGTGTGGAAGATCTGGACAATACTTTTCACTGATTAGGAAATTTAGAGGAAAATGTCATTTCAGGTGACCAAAGCTTTTGAGACTTCAGAGTAAGTTTAACAAACAGTTCTGGCCACAGAGAGGGAACTTTTTTTTTTTAAAGTCCTGTGACTTTCTGTTTCAAATATATTGAAACAAATTTTTTCACTTTGGAAATGTCATGTGTTAATTTGAAATGAATCTATATTAAAAACAAAATAGAAAAATACACAACCAAAAGTAAAACAATCTGTTCAGAATGAAGTAAATTGTTTCCTTTTAAGTTAAACAGTGTATTTTGGGTCAACTTGAAACATTATTTTTCTTGATATTTTTTCATATTTCTGAGAGAAAAATGCCACACAATTTGTTTTGTTTTGTTGGAGCACATGATCATATCTCATACCTTTCCATGGCCTTCAACTGTTCATCACTATGTTTCTTTAAAAAAAAATTGTTTCCCTTGCCTTCATGATTCAGCAGTGAATTGAGATCTGATTATTTCCAAGTGTGATGCCGCACCTTTGGACAGTACAAAAGCAATCAACAGAATGGGTGTGCGAATGCCATGGAAACACAATTTTTCTGAACCATGAAAAATATGGTGATCTTCAAAAGACTTGCAATTCCTCACAGTACCTTCATAACTATTTAATACTAAATCTCACATTTAAAAGCTTACCAGGTGTTTTCCATAGGCTACATATGGGACATCCTCCACCACTGTAAGGTAGTTGCTCTGGGACAGATCTGGGCATATTTGCTGCAGCATGCAGCAAGCTGGACGAACAGTTCAGATCCTGAAAGATAGGACTGAAATAGAAAAGGTTTTCACTAGGGTGCTAGGCAAATATCTCTGCTATTGTAAAAACTACCTTGTATCTCAGAGGTAATTCCATTCCTGCAACACAGAAGCTGGAGCACAATTTTTTATTTTATTTCCTCATTTTGTAAACGGTGGTTTAAGCATTAATTGCCAGCTTTCTTCTTCCCCTAAAAAATCCTTGACTTGGTTATTGAGTTGGTTTGATTGCAAAGAGAGATGATGGAGAGTAGACATGGCAAAGGTTCAGCAGACAATTTCATGCCATCTTGAAGACATCAAAGATAAGAAATAATAGCAGGGTCCACATCTATTCTCTATAACAGATCTGTTCTGAGTTCATGTTTTACCCATTTTTGCTGCTGCGAAGTTTCTTAGAGCTCTGTCATACTATTATAAGCACTCAATAAATTCTCAGTAGTATTGCTAAATAGGTAAAATGAGTCCAGTATTGCAGGAGTGTCACAAGCTCAATCAAATGGCTCAATGTTTAAATCTTTTGTACAGTGCATATGGACATATGACTGGTTGCTGCATTTGCTATCTCCAGTCTAAGATGAAGCATTAGAATCAGAAAGGAAAGTTCTACTTAGTTTCCCCAGTGGGAATACAGTAACTTCAAGATCAAATATGTCAACAGATGGCTCACGTTTTCATGCACATTTGAAAGAGCCTGTGGTTTTGGAAGGGTCAACACTATGCTGTGGGCTGTCCCTGGTATCATACACAGTCAGTTCATTTCTTCCGGAACTACTTTAACTTGTCACAACAAAAGCACTATTTATTTGTCCATAGCATCATAGACTTATATATAATAATAGCCCCAGATGTACACAGATACTGAAGATCACAGTCCCTCCCCTCTGGTTTTCTGCAGCATATTGTATTGAAAAGAAATATCTCCTTGGTAATGACTATAAAAACTGTGGCACTGGTGTTTTCCTAAGGAAGTCCAGCCCTTAGGCTATACATATAGTACTCATCTGTAAACATATATCCCTATTACAACATCTCAAAATGAATGAAATATGACTAGAGTGTGTATTAGCTGACTGTTAATCAATTAACTGAATGTCAGCGATGCCTACAGAGATGCCCAGTGAGCCCAAGAAGGTAAACAGGGGAAGGATTCCTGTACAGACCTATCTGAAGGCTCACCCATGAGAGAAAACGCACAAAGAGAGGCAACGTAACAGGATTTATTTAGTTAGGTAGAGTATAATAATCCAAAATGAACTGCAGCCAAGAACTAGGCTGTAGGAAGGCTGTACTGCTATGAAATTGAGAATAAACACAAGTAAATAAGAAACAAGCCTTGAGACTCTCCATAAATATTAATTCCTGCAGTTCAGTGCATTGGTCTGTGAAATGCCCCATTTAGGTTTCTCTCTTTTTGTTGTTATCAGTAATATGCTTTAAAAGTTATTGGAGTTGTGCTGATCTCCCTTAACACAGTATTAAATTGGTATAATTTTTTTTTGCCTTTATATTTCAAGCAAATACACTTCTCATTATAGTCATTATGGTTTATTTCTATGGCTAGAATATTTTGGTTTTTTATCTATAATCTAGATACCTAAACAGGACATTCTATCCTGTTTTATTTTGCTGCCTAATTATATTTAAGTAAGGTTTCCCTTTCTGATTTTCCCTTACTCCTAGATTGCTTCCTTCCAAGTTAGAGGTACGTTTAATTCAACAGCTTTCATTCCCTGAATTTCCCTGGTAGTTGCCCCATCTGAAGAGGCTGTGCTGTTCTCTTCTTTCTCCACAGTGTTACGTGAAGTTCCTAAGTCAGGTTTAGTGCGTTGGCATCAGTTAAAAGATTGCTGCAGAGAAACGGGGGAAATGGGAGAGGCCAGCTTTCAGTGACACTCTATTACAGAGCAATTCAAACTTTTCAAGCCAGAAATAATAAAAGGTAATTCACTGGACACCATCTACAAACATGGTCTGAGTTATGCCCTCAAAGGAAAATCGGTATCATTTTTACAGTAGACTGATCTGGAGGGTTCTTCAGCCTGCTCCTGACCTCCACTGTTGGAAGATGTGTGGAACATCATCCTTTCAGGTTTTCTTCACATGTGGTGAACCTAATAGTCCTAATGCAGAAGGGGAAACAGTATCCAGTGTGAGTAGGAGTGAGAGTGTGTTGGGACTGTGCGCTTGCTCCTGTGCTCTTCTCGTCAAACAACAATATTTGGACTTTTTCGCCTGAGGTCTAAGGAGAAAGATTTTCAAAACCTGAAATATCCTGCTGAAAGACAACAGAACTGCACTGAAAAGCAGCTTTTCCCAGGCATTTTTTTACAGGATGCACAAACACCTGCTATCATGTGGGCTGCTCCATCTGGACCAAAGCAGGCCAACTCAGCGCAGCGTGATCTGCCGTGATGGTACTGAGCTGCCAGCACTGGGATGGCACCGGTGCTATGGCCAGGACTGGACACTGCCTGGTTGCTCTCCACTGGGAACTTTCTCTGCTGGAACATCTCATGAAGCACACCCTGCATGAAAATCAGAGATGGTGGTGGAGAGCCAAATACATAGAGTTACTGTAAAAATGTGACCCACCATTCACATGCACATCAAGCATGACCCTCCTTGAAATGGTGTTGGCAGGAAAAAGCCACAGTGTGACAGCACATCACGCTGAAGGCAGCTGCAGCCAGGGGAAGAAACGCTGTGGTCTAGGAGGTTGCTTTTAGAAGAAATAAGTTTGGATAAGGAGTATTGACTTGGTCCCTGATCTTTTATTCTTCTCACTGCTTTATGCAGACATAAGTATTAGAACCATGAAAGCAGCAGCTAAGCAAGGCTCCCAAGACTGTTCCTCTTAAATTAGAGAGTTTGTTTTTCATTACTTTTGTTAAGATGACATTGCCATCCTATGATGCTGAACAGAAATACTGCTAAAGCTTACCAGGTCTGGGAATTTTGGTGGAGTCTCAGCCCTTGGATTTAATGTGCAATAGCAACTTGCAGGGGATTGAGAGTCAGGTCAGGTACCTCCTAATGTAAATGCCCAGAGTTTTCCACAGATAAAATGAAGTGCAATCACAGCAGCAGAGACAGGACTGTAGAGCTGTCACTCATGATAAGGGTTGATTTAAATGCAGTACTATGAGGGTAAGCACACTTCTGGCCTCACACTTTCTAGAGAAGCTACTAATAAGTGAATTTTAAAAAAAAAGTAACTGTTTTTCCCTCCTTGCTGCATCATTACTTTGCTTGGGGCAGGATCTCTATTTAACAGTAAACATGATATGATACGTCAGTGATCATAATACATGACCCACAGGCGTAAATTGATGTTAAGTGTATTTTCTACTAAAAGGCAGAAGTACGTTTGGGGTCATTCCTGCTTTGAGATTCCCATTTGCTTCTCTGATGGACAAGCTGCAGAAGCAGGAACCTCACTTCCACCAGGATCAAGGGGATAACTCACTGCCAGCATCTTCTCTTGCCTTCCTTAGACCATGCAAGAGCACTGATCCATCACAGGCTGATTCATCTCCTGACAACAAGGTGATTACTTTGGAGCAATGACTAACTGAAGCAATTTGTGGGAATACCTGACTCAGCAGCCACAGTTCAGTGGCACTGGGGAGAGGGTACTATGACTGATAAGAGAAGAAACATGATTTCAGTTGGGGGTCACAGAGAAGGGATATTTTTCTTCTGGTTCTCTCATGCTTCTTTTGCACCTACATGTCGGACGATAATAATAAATCTTCTGTCATTAACTAATAGTTATGCACTGCTAGGTTGAGCTGGTCAGAAGACATCAATACTAGAAAGCAGTAGAGGAAAAAAATTATGCCATTGACTGGAGTGACATACAAAGTTTTTTAGCCTACATGTATTTAGAACTGTGTAGAGTATTTGCAGCTTTTCGGGGATAAA